CAACTTGAACCTTTTGGAGAGAAAAGTTACTTACAATCTAAAGACCCAAGATTATTACTTGCTTCCGAGGCTTCTGCTTACTGTTTAAAATTCACTTGTTCATTCCTTGAAGTACTCACTTAAAAGCAGGACTGTGGAGAGAATGCTATCAAATAGTCTATTTGGGGTAAAGGAAAAATGGGAAACATTCTGATGATAGCAAAAGCAGAGGAAGAGGGGGAGAGGGAAGGGGACAGAGGGGGAAGGAGGGAGTCTAGGGTAGGCAGGGAGTATGTGGGAAGGAGGAAAGGGGATGGGCAAGCATGCATATGAATGCTTGAGCTTCCACAGCAAAATACCATACTGAGTGGCTTCAAAACAAATTTATTTGCTCATAGTTCTGGAGGCTGGAATTCTGAGATCAGGGTACCAGCATGGCTGGGTTCTGATGAGGACTCTTCCTAGCTTGCAGATAAGGCAGCAACCTATCTTCTTGCTGTAGCCTCACATGACCTTTTCCTCACTATGGGAGAGAGAAATCTCTTCTGTATGGCCACTCATCTTATTGGATTAAGTCACTTCACTTAACCTTTATTCTCTCTAAAAACCCTATTCTAAATACAGTCAAATTGCTGGCTAGAACTCCAACATACAAATTTTGGGGGAACACAATTCAGTCCATTGGTGTGTGTGTTTGAGTGCATGCTCATATAAAATACATGAACAAAAGAAGAAATTATTGTGCCATTTAACTTGAAGAAAGAGATTCATGCTAAGACAATGGCAGTGTAATATTCAAGCTCATTATTAAAGTTTCTTCATAAAGATACTGTATTTGTGGAGATGATATAATGTCCTCTTGCAGCTTATCCTCAGACCAAGTCTTTCCCCAATCTCTGCTCTTCTTGATGTTTTAGCATTTGATAGCCTTGATTTACCTAGAGACTTGATACTCTACACTACTTGATACTGATACATTTTTGGCTTTTGTATCACTTTTCCATTGTCCCACTTCTCTCTTGTTCATTTTGTTCAAAGAATGACCAATGCAGATGGGAGATGAGAAAGATAGAGCCCTGGCTCTCTAGAACATGTCATTATCCCTTGTTCCTCTCTATCATAGCTTCTTTTTTTAAAATTTATTTTTATTTATGCATACAAGATCTGGGGTGTAGGCCAGATGTGTGGAGGGTGAGAGGATTCATCAGAGACAGAGTGAGGAGCAGAACAGGCAGATCTACTGAAATACACTGCTGAAGGGAGCAGCTGGTGAGACAGGAGAGGTCTGCTGTGCCATATGAATTAGCGCCCTTGTCAGGGATCAAACTGGTGCTGCAGTGGCTGCCAACAGCTTCAAAGTGCTGAGACTTAACCCCTTGCACCACCAGGGAGGCCCTTCATAGCCTCTTTTTATGAGTTCACAATGGTTACTAGTCCTTAGCTGATTATCTATTAGTCTTTAGGGTTTCTCTGAGAACGGTTTCATTCTTTTGGCTTTAAGTTACCACCTCTAAAGCCAACATCATGCATATTTCTCTCTACTTTTGATGTTTATCCTGTAATTTTTTCACTTAGCCATTCAGTGAATTTTTATTCTGAGCCAACTGTGTGTGTCTGGATACAAAAATTATATAGTCTTGGCCCTCAGGTTGTGGACAGACATACAAAAACAATTTAAAATACAAGGTTTCATGGGGCAGGTAAGTAGGAAATGTCTGGACTTGAAGGGTAATGAGAAGGCAGGTATCGCCAGTAGAAGGCTGAACATATATGCAGGCACGGAGGGTTTTGAAAACAGCAAAAGTTTCAGTGTGATTGGAACCTAAAATCCTGCATGGGGAGGCCTCCTTGGTGGCCCAAGGTGTTAAGTCAGCACTTTGAAGCTGTTGGCTGCCAATGCAGCATGATCCCAGCCAGGGAGCTAACCCACACGGTGCAGCAGACCTTTCCTGTCACGCCCGCGGCTTCCCTCAGCAGTGTACTTCAGTCTGCCTGATCTGCTCCCCACTCTGTCTCTGGTCAATCCTTTCAACACCCCCTACACTTCTGGCCTACACCCAGCTCTTGTATGCATAAATAAATAAATCTTAAAAACAGAAACAAAAACAAACTTGCAGGGGCCTCCCCAGTGGCGCAGTGGGTTGAGCTCAGTGCTGTGAAGTTGTTTGTAGCCTCTGCAGCGCGGGTTCGATTCCTGGCTGGCCAGGGAGTTTCCCACATCATGCGGCAGACCTCTCTGGTCTCACCCACTGCTCCCCTCAGCACTGCTTTTGGTCCATCTACCTGTTCTGCTCCCAGCTCTGTCTCTGGCGAATTCTCTCACCCCCCTGCACCTCTGGCCTGTACCCCAGCTATTGTATATATAAAAAAATAAATAAATTTTTTTTTTTTTAAAAATTGCATGGGGAATAGTGAAAGATGAGGCTGAGCATTTAAGAAGATGCCAGGTCGCCACAAAGGCAATATTCTTAATACTAAGGTAGTTTTCTTCCATCATAAACCAGTTTCTTCTCCTAAGTTCACAATACAACTATCATTCTCCTAATAGCCAAGCCTGACATGTCCTCTTCAGATCTGCTTCACCAGCTAGGATCCAGCTGTCAGTTGAGTCATTTCCATATCTAGATCACCCTCTCACACATCCTTTTCCCTTGCACTGTCAACACACAACCTACCGTTGAACTACTGGATTCATTCAAAAGCTGTTTGAAATGTTACCATTTCAGCTTCTTTAAAAAATTACCTAAATTTCTAAAACTCCCTATTTTTCTATGTTGCTGATCCTGAGGATAAGTAGACAGTGTTATTTTATTACCTATAGGGTAAGTGCTTCCTTAGGCCAGTATTTTACATGCATATTTCTTTTTATGTATTCTCTTTTTAGGCTGGTATTTTAATGCATAATTTCTTTTTAGTAAACAAAAATCTCAAGCACCTGTGCTCCCATTAAAAACCACAGAATTATAGAATTAAGAGTAATTTGTAGCACAGATTTTCTGTTAATTTTGAGTTTTTATTGTGAACATAGCATGTTTTATACTGAGTAAGCTTTTTCAAAGGATAGTTTCCCCTCCCCTGCAATTATATCTTTCTTGCCGCAATTCTAACCTGTTAAGTTAGCCAGATCACTCACCTCCATTGAGGCCATGTGTTTGCTGACTCCAGAAACTGTGTGTTGGAATCCTGGTTTCACTTCTTACTAGTTTCAGCAAGGTTCTGCATTCTTTAAGCTTCATAATAACTTTATGTGAGAGAAATGGGAGAAATATATATATAGTACTCCAGGGCTAATTAATCTGTGTAGCCTAGTGCCTGCCATGTGTGAGCATGCAGTACATGTTGGCTATAAAATGTCATGTCCCTAGAAAACTCCTTGCCCATTCCTTCTGTGCTGTTGAGACCTCATGCTGTTTTTGCATCCCTCTACCACTGAATGCTCTCCTTGAACTCTTCCCTGTTACCTGTGATTTAAGTACTCTTTTAAGTTCAACTCAACTGCCTTTTCTTTATAGTATTTTCTAACTACTGCATTTCGTGTTGACCTCTGAATTCCTATAGGACCTTTTTGTACCATTTTAGAAACGAGTCTTATTTTCTGTCATTTATGCTATTTTTAAATTTATATACAATAAAATATTTTTGTTGTACATTTATAAAGTTGTACAACACATGTATACATTTTTGTACAGTTATAAAATTTCTTTGCATTTTGGCCAAATGCTGAGATTGTGTAATTATCATCACAGTCAGGATACTGAACAATTGTATCCCCCCAAAAAATCTATCTTGATACTGCTTTTTAAACAATTTCCCAAGTATATATCCTGTTTCTCCTTTTGCATTTTAAGCTCTTGAACCTAGTGTCTATATTACACTAATTTGTCTCCCCTGTGTATGGTCTAGCCTAGTATTGAGCATATGGTGAGTAGCTATAACATTGGACTAATAGAATAGTAAATTTGAAGAAGCTTCATAGTTAATATGAAGAAGCTGTGAATTTATGTTATTTAATTCTCTTTGGTGATTTAGTGTCCTTTTATTTTTTTTTTTTATTTTTTTAAATTTTCTAGAGGCATGTCTTATTTATTTATTTATTATTTGTTTGTTTGTTTGGTTTATACATGCACTGGGTACAGTCAGAAGCGCGGGAGGGTGAGAGAATTCACCAGAGCCAGAGCGGGGAGCAGAGCAGGCAGAAGGACTGAAGTACACTGCTGAGGGGAGCAGCGGGCGGCAGGAGAGGTCTGCGCGCCATGTGGGACCCTCCTCTGGTGGCCGGGGAGCAGCCGGGGATTGAACCGGCTGCAGAGGTTGCAGGCAGCTTCGCAACCCAGCGCTCAACCGCTGCGCCACCGGGGAGGCCCTAGTGTCCTTTTATTTAGGTATAAAATTTCAATTGAAAATTATTCCTGTATAGTTGGTTAAAGTAGTATCAGAGCTTTGTCAGGTTTAATAAAAATAATTTAAAATTTGTCTTTGGAAGACAAAGGACTTCTTTCTTTCTGTTTTTACTATCTAATGTACTTATGATTTCTGTTTTTTTCTAATCTTACTGAAAGTTTAATATAAAGTATAATTTTATGTCTTTCCCCTCAGCTACATTTGGCTATTATGATATTGCTAATTAGTGAATGTATTTCCTGAGTTTGACTTTTTTCCTTGAACAGTTACTGAGCAATGCAATTAAACATTAATGAAATTTATGAAATATAAAATCATTTTTTCTCAGTTTTACTTTTCTGTGGACCAGTTTTACATTTTTCTTCGTTTCTTTTATTGTCTCTAAAATCAGAGGTCAACGGAAATAAGATACTTTTTACTTTGATAAATTAAAGGTGGGGCTGATAAGTGAATGTTTTGCATGGTTTCCTCAGACTGCGCTGTTGGTATTATGGAGTATTGATTCCTTTGCAGGAAGGGCAAAATACAGTTCAGTTTTACATTCCATTTAATAGACTTTACTTCCTAAACAAAGTGAATTGAATTTAACCATGTGTGTCTTTTTTTCCCTTCCCCAACAGCTTGCATACCCATGGCTGGTCTAAATTTGGGCCGCATATATCCATTTCAGAGGGGCTTTTTCTGTACAGACACCAGCATCCAGTATCCGTACAAAGACAGTACCATCCCAACCACCTTGCTCTCCATAGTGGGGCTTGGCTTACCCATATCCTCTGTAAGTAAATTAATAAGTAGGTAGTGATGGGTTGGTTGTGCTGGAAATTGGATGAAGTGATGAAATTGGGGTGGGGTTAAGTTTATAGTACTATCTTCACCAGTGTTTATGTGGTGAATGATTGCTTGAGGAATACGTCCACTGTTTAAATGCAGAGATGGTATTTCTCCAATTAAAGGGTAAAGATACCCAAAACAATTTGATGTCATTATGAAGAATAATAATTTTAAAATGGAAGGGTTCATTTAAATAATGTAGATCAACTCTTTTCACTGTACGAGTAAAAAAACTTAGATCCAAATATTTGTTGAAACCCAGTAAGCTGTTTTATGGCAGAGCTGAAACTAAGATTATATATGTTTTTTCATGCATATATTATCAAATAGAAATTGAGGCTTTAAAAAAGGAGATGATAGGTTTACTAATAAAATCTGAGATAAGGACTTGGCAGAAAGAATGTAAATACATATGCAAAGTCAAATCCTCAGAATGCATCAAGTTGTATCCCTATATTTTAAAATTGTACAATCTTTTAGACTATAAGTTTGTAGGTAATAGTTTTATTATTTTAGATTATTGGAAACTTGCCTTCTAGGGTTAGTTTCACAAACTAGGTTAAGATTAGCACTTGAGATACTGTGACTACTTTCTTCATTTCTTGGCTCTGATTCCTGAATCTTGCCCTATGTCTTTTTATGTGACTTGGAAATAGGAGGACGGAGCATAGTAAAGACTTAACTTCTTGAGCTCTTGGGAGTGCCATATTTCTCCTTTGATTGCTTATCTTTCCCAGGTAGTTTAAAAAAATTATTATCTTAGCAGATTCATTAGCCTTGTTCCACTATAGGATGGACTTTTCTTTGCTCCCAAATTAAGAGTATTATGTGTGGATTTTCCAGTTTATATCTGATTTCATTTTATTTTTTAGGCTAGGATTTTTTTGTAAAATAATCATTAGTACAGTGTTCTGGTCGTGAAGGGTACTTGGAAGTTGTTCACAATATGTTGAATATTTCTTTATATATAGTCTATCTAATTGTATTATAACCACTTTTGTAGGAGTAAAAGGGGGAAAAAATCTGGGATTTAGTTTAAGGAGATATACTTACTTTTTTCTGAAGAAAATTCTAGTTGTGGTAACTTCTGTTTTATCCAATGGGCTTATGAAACAGCATACAGGAAAGTGTTCAGTATTGCCACTTAGATGAAAACAGACAACAGACAATATTATGGTTCATGTAAGAAATATAAGATACCTGTCTTAGCTATTAGCTGTTACTTTTTAAGCAGCTGTTGCCAGATAAAGTTTTAGAAAAATTACCCCTGCATTTGAATAGATGATTGCTTGAGGATCACGAAGTTACTTTTCAGTTGTTTGACTTGGTATATACCTTCTTTTTCTTTAAAAAAAAAAAAAAAAAAAAAAAAGTTTAATTATATAAATAATATATATTTATCAATTTAAAAATCTATTATAAGGCAAAAGGAAAGAAATCACCCCAGTTTTACCTGAAGACGACCACTATTAATACTTTAATATTATTTCCTTTAGCTGATCAGTTTTTTAGATAATTATGAGTACACTAAATTCAGGTTTGTGCCTTGTTTTTTACTTTATAACACATATTTTTGAGTTGTTATAAATATCAAACAGCTTAAACTAAGAGCAATTAAGCTAATTTTTTTAAAAGTAATAAAAAGACGTGACATGAGTCCTTGAGTTCTTTGATATTAATTTCCATGTGGTTGCTGTTAAAGAGAAGTGACTTGGAAAGATATTTTAATGCAAATTTATTTATATTAAAAAGTAATATTTGGTCACTTTCTGGGCCATAAATATGCTTATGGTGGACTAATGTGAAAGTATTCTTGCATATTTCTAGGATAGATTTGTTTATTTTAATAGTTTATAAGCTGTAGAAGCATATCTACAGCATAGAAGCTGTCTAAGCATAAGCTGTAGAAGACAGTTTATTTCCTATAAAGTAAATGATTAGTCTTTGATATCACTTTATACTCATGTTTTATAATTTGATGAGTCATAGAATTTTGGGTGATAGAACATTTTAAACCTGACTTTTTTTTTTTTCACAATCTGAGGTCCATTCATTTTGTGCTATTTCTTTATCAGCTAGTGGAAAAGATGCAACATTCAGAGAATTATAGATTTCTTGTGTTTTTTCGCTTAAAGTTTAGTATACAAATAATACATACTTATGTATGGGGTTTTAATGATCTACTTTGTATTTCACACCAATTTTTTTTCTCCCCTTCTAGCTTCCTCTAAGTTAACCTTCTCTCTTAGCAATTCCTTATTTGCTTTTGTAAATTTTTTCTAGAAAAAGATAAAAGTTTGAATTTCATATAAATTTTGAGTATTGATAGCAGCAAAACAGTGTGAAATCCAAAGTTCTTATATTACAATAAATGTTTTCTGGAGTTTAAAATGCATATAGTTTGGGGGATAGCAAACTCATCTGTGTTTAATATTTTAAATTCACTTGAGTAATGACTGTGAGTAGCTTCTTTCCTTAGGTCTTGATTATGTTATGATGTTACAACCTTTTAGTAGAAAATGTTTAGCTCAAAGTAATAGTTTAGCCAGTGTTTTCTTGTGGCCAATTTACAGTACTCCTAAAGAGACATTGTTTTAGTCTCAGTGACCTAAACTGCATCATGACAAACTAGCAATATATATGAGAAAAAATGTATGTGAAAAGACTTAATCTCTTTTTCTCTATAAGTACTCATATATTAGAGAGAAAAAGATGAATGCAGAAACTTGATACAAGCCAAAATATTTTAAGAAAAAAGATTGAATATTCTGAGGAAATCAAAGAAGTTCCTTTTAAAGCAATACTAAAAACTTGATTTTGCCTCTTATGTTGGCAATGGTGAGATATTTCCAGCATGTCAAGGAAAGAAAACGGATACACTCATACACAAAACTGGCAGGGGCATAAGTTGGTATTAAAAGTAATGTATCATTGAACCTAGATGTTGTATCTCAAGCAGTTTATCCTAAGGAAATAAATAACTTCATTAGGGAATTAGTTACAAGAATGTTCATTGCAACATATTTTTATAGCAGAAAATTGGAAATAAATTAATTCAGCTCTAGGGGATTTCTTATGATTCACCCCTTTAATATCTTATGATATTAAACATTATGATATTTATGATTAAATATATTTGTCCATTTTATAGTTTTTGATGTTTAGTGACACAGAAAGATCTTTGTAATGTATTAAGTGTGGGGTGGGAGGGAGAAAAATAGTCATGTTTTTCTTTGAGTTGTGGGATTATTAATATATGAAATTTTCGTGTAATCTACTTCTGTTTTTTCACCCTTTAAAGCATACTGTTTTTAAAAATTTTAAAACCTGCTAGAAATCAGTCCTTTTTTATTTTGATAAATTGTGACACTTAGCTGTCTTAACCCACTTCCACATAGTTTGTCTTGGAAGATTAAGTTTAGTTTTGTCTGTCATCAAGAAAATTAAAAAAATTCAAACAATGGTATTTTGAAACTGCACAATAAATCAAAACTCTTTTGCTTGTTCCTGGGGGCTTGCCAACCTCCATGGCTCCATTATGTCTCCATTGTTTGAAGTGTTAAAATTCTCTTGTTTTAGGATATGGGTTTCAGTTTTTGGTTGGGGATTTTCGTGAACTCCTTGGTGATTATTCTAAAAAGCAGGACTGTCTATAGCCTCTTAAGCCAAAATTTAAAATAATGTACTTATTTTTTTTCAGCTGATGTGGTGGGTTAGAGTAACAAAGAATGCTTGGCTTTTGTATAACATTCAGCACAAGCATTTTTCTAGTATTGATTATCCTCAGATTTTTGCTACAGGTATTACTAGTTAATATAATATATTAAATAACATTCATTTTAAAGGATAAAATAAACTTGGAATAAATATTTTTTCCATTTTGGTAGTCATTGTTTTTGATGCTTTTTAAAGTTACTTTTGAGTACTCTGTTAATGCTTGAGGAAAAAGACAATATAGAATAACATTTTATGGTTGAATTGTTAAAAAATACTGTATTTGTAAACTTTGAGATTTGATGTTTAGGATGATGAGGGAGACCATTTACAACCAATTTATGGATTTTCCAAAGTTTTTGTTTTTTGGCATGTAGTCTAAAAATATTTCTTTAGGGCTATCCTCGAAGGAATTACTATCCTCAAAGGAAATAATTGAGGCTAAATTTTTATGGTTTTTGAACAGCTTACAGTTATTAAGAAATTGGTAGTCACAAGAAAGAATGGATATGCTTAATTTTATAAGCTAAAAAATAATGTATAAGTAAGCTGTTATTTATGGCTAAAGGCACTATAAATATCTTGCACAGTAAGAGAACATTGGCATTTTCTGGGTTTTATGCCACGGTAAGTCTTTCTTACTACTCTTTCTCTTTATTAGTCCAGGAAACTGGTTTATCAAAAAGAAATTACTAGCCACATTGGGATATTATAACTCCATTGTGTCCATGTTGACAAATGTGCTCTGCTGACTTTTCCCAGATACACTCCAATAGATGCAAGGCAATAGATAGGCTTTACTCTGTGGTAGGAATGTTTGCTTACCATTGTATTCTTAGTGCCAAGCACACTGCCAGTCATGTGTAAAAATTAGTTTTAACCCTTTTTGTATTCATGTATTTGAGAAACTACATCCAAAGATCTTTGAGTTATTTTAAGTATTTTTAACATCTTTAAGGTGTGGTATGATGATATTAATTTTTGATGTAATTACTGACATTTGTATTCAACATTTCATGATATTTAAATTTGCAAAAGTTTAATGTTACTTTTATTCTCCATTCATCCTCTTAAGTTATTTTTGGTGTTCCATTTGTACTCTTTATTAGATTGTAAGTTACACATACTTTATTCTTTTAGTGGTTACTCTAGGTATTGCAACATCTGTTATTAGCCTAATATAAATTGGTTCTTTCATACTAAAAACATACATTTAAACTTTCTTTGTGT